CCCAATCTGTTTCCTTGCAGTTTTTCCGCAGCCACGTCAGGAGGTTAATCTCCCTCTACACTGCATGCCACTTTCGCTTTCTTTGTTCATTGGGTTTTATGGTACTTTCTGCATAGATTTATGACCATTCAGGGGTGACTTTGCAGTCAGTACAATGTTGCCCCGGTGTATCTGAATGTGGTTTTGAACGGCACCTTTTCCTTCCTCTGCTTCCAATTCGAAAGGAACGATAAGGAGACAATTTGACATGGCTTCATTGATCTCCGTCAGTTCCCCTGTCCCTATTTCCCCCTCTGTATTTATCACGCTGCCATTAATTACTTGGCTCAGGCAGCGAATGACCGCTGAGGCAAGTACTGACATAGGGAAATCTGCATACCAAATTGTTAAATCCAGCGCTTAACAAATAGTCGGAGAGTGATTTCAGCAAAACTCAAGTTTATTCCGAAACACGAACACTTCTCCAACACGGTACAACATCTGATAGCCCCAACAGCTTGTCCATAGTAGCTGCTCGGTATTTAAACATTTCCCGGCTAATGTAGCCACACCTACTATACAGATAACAACCAATGCAGTTGAGCGTATAAGGGCCAATCACTTTCGTTCCCACTCACGGTTTGCTTTATCGTGATTGGACACATTAGTCTTGGACTTGCATCCCTGTCCAAGACGAAGCTTAACATAGCTTCCTAATGAGATGTTTCACATTACATCTAATGCATTCATGGCAGCTTCTGAATACATTACACAAATTGAATGAAAACAGATATTCCGAGACAAGGGGGAACCAGGTCGAGTGCTGAGAAAATGTGGAGCCGATACCAGATGCAGAATGGACCTTACAATGCCTGTACAGTTGGTGCTGAATACAAGCAACAGGGATCTTGGGACTGCAGTGAAGGGGGGGCTCAGACAAGAACACCCCTCACCGACCTCCATTGGCAGAGCAGTTGGTTGGATACAACCCTGTGGGAGCAAGCCTAAGCAGGTCTACTCAGAAGTAAGTCCCATTTTTAAAAATGTATTACTCTCATTCTGCTGTCACTGCACTGGCTGCCCATCAGTCCCTGGGCTCCATTTAAGGTATTGGCTACAAAGCCCTTCATGGCCTCAGACCCTGTAACATAAATACATCTATTCACAAAATGTATATCCTGCCTTTCTGCCCTCACAAGGACTACCAAAGGTAGCTAACAAACTAAGATATACATACATAAATCACATATTAAAACCATTTAAAGCCAGCTATGGTTGCCAGATCCCCACCCCACCCCCGGCCACTGGGAGGGGGCGGGGCGGGTTGCCAGCTCCAGGTTGGGAAACTCCTGGAGATCTGGGGATGGAGCCTGGGGAGGACAGGGACCTCAGTGGGGTTCAACGCCATAAAGTCCACCCTCCAAAGCATCGGTAATCTGGAGATGAGCTGGAATTACAGGGGATTTCCAGGGGCCGCCTGGAGGCTGGCATCCCTAAACCAGCCCCCACAAAAACACACATTCATTAAAACAATTTAAAACAGAGCTAAAATACACCCAAGGAAGACGTCAACAGAAGGAGACAGATGAATCTCCCTGGGGAGACAGTTCTGGTGTTTTGGTGCCAATGCTGAGGAGGCCCCGCGTGATGAACTATGAAAAACCACTCTGAGGTCAGATGAATCTCCCTGGGGAGAGAGTTCTGGTGTTCTGGTGCCAATGCTGAGGAGGCCCCGTTATTCAATGGGGCTTACTCTGAGGAAACCGTTATTCAATGAGGCTTACTCTGAGGAAAGTGTACTTAGGATTCCAGCCTCTTTCTCTAGCACTAGCAGCTAGAAGTTCCCAGGAATTTTATATACACAACATGGTTGGTTAGATGTGGAAATTCCATTTTTTTTTTTAAAGCTATCATGACTAATAGTGGTTCATAAGCCTATCTTCCAAGATCCAAAAAACGTCGTATCGCCTGGGGAATGGACGGCAGCACTGAAAACCCAGTATCACAACTGACTGATTGCAACTATAGTACAACACCTAGAACAGTCTTTGGTTGTAAACATTAAAATAAAGCAAACAAGTTCTTGGTGCTCGAGGTTTCTTCCGCCAATTTGTTTTGTACAAGTAACAAGTTGTCATGTCTGCACAATAAATGAATGGATCACTTCGGGCCTACGCAGCAGCCAGAAATACGTCGTCTAAACTTGGATCTGTCAGAACAAATTTGAGAGGATCAGCCCTGCCCACGTGTGTTTCTAACATTCAAGAAAAGTCAGCGGAGCGTTTATATATTAACTACCCGGTAACGACAAATCTCTCACACGTCTTACCTCCTGAGGTTCCTGATATTGTGACGTTAGCAAGAGAAATGCTCTTTGTGCTTGAAAAGCTGCACGGACCATTTCTGCCTGAATAAAAAAAAAAGAAAAGAATGAATGAGCTGAATGATGAATTTTTAAACTTACACTTTTGGCCATTACTAGACATTTTATAAGTGCGCTATTATAGTATGCTTCTGTGACGGACTGCACTTTTTAAGAGGCTTAAAAGTGCTGTACCTAAAACTACAGGACTATGAAGGGTTAATTCTTCACAGAGCCAGAGAGCCTTGAGGGACTTCAGATTGGAGCCCCCCAAAGTGGGGGAGCCACCCCCTCCCAGGAACTGGGGGCTGGCAGCCCTACCCTGACTTCATCTGACCTTTCCCCTTGATGTTACATAAAAACCTGTTGTTTTTGAATTTTAAAAGTGTCTCAAATGCTGTTTTCTGTCATTTTAGTTACAGGGAGTCCCTAACCCTTCCCTCAGGTCCTGGGCTGAAAATATAGCCATTACATATTACTGACACAGGGTGGGATTGCTAAAGTTTACTTTAAAGAGAAGAATACATGCTCCCAAGGCTGCTCAGTCAGTGAAGGGATGAAAAATGGGGGATCTTGCCTGAAAGGGACCGAAGTGTGCGGGGTCTGTCATAGCTTCAATCTGCGCAAATCCACATTTTTTACAAGCTTCCCTTCTTAAAATATAAACATCAAAGCAGATCAATCCATTTACAAAGGACAGAAAACTTTGTAGTTTAGCTCATTACTTAACTCATTACTGCTTAGAGAGGCAGCACGGTGGGTGACCCTAGGCCAGCCACACACTCTCAGCCTAACCTACCTCAAAGGGCTGTTGTGAGGATAAAGTGGTGGAGAGAACAATGTAAACCACTTTGGGTTCCCACTGGGGAGAAAGGTAGGATATAAATAAAATTACTTTTATACGGGCTGTTTTCTTGTGTTATCATTTGAAGAAGAGAGAGCTCTCTCTCTCTCTCGCTCTCTCTCTGAGGTAAAAGGCACAGAGTAGATTAAAAGTGAAATAAAATACCAAAAGTCAATTTTTAAAACCAATACATCAATAAAAAAAGGTTTAGGTTAGGTTAGAGGCGCAAATTAGGGGTCAGTCAAGACAAATACAACAGCAACAATTCTACTACATTCCGCTACAACAAGGCTCCTGTTTGCTCAGACTAGTGTGAAAAGTGGGCCAGGAAGTTTTTACAGGCGTCAGGGAGTATCATCTGACCCATTCTGGCCTATTGCCACAAAGAAATTACTTGGCTTGTATGGCAGGTTGTTCAGTGGCAGACATTCCTCTGGACGGCAGTTCAAGAACTTCTGCAAGCTCCCACATAGGCACCATGACCGTTCAATGTTCAGAAGCAGTACTGAGTATTCACAAGCTACTTACTTGACCCAGATATAATCAGTTACAAGGCTGGTTTAGTCAAATGTCAACAAACTCATTGGCAGTAAGGGATTTGGACATGGGAGAACTATATTCAAACAAATTTCGCTTTGGCTATGACCCTCTCACAGCCTACCATGGTTCGCAGCGAACCTCATGGCCTGCTTTGAGGCTGTATGAGCCAGAACTTACAAAGCCCTCCATGCAACAGAAATAATAAACTGCAATAATAACTTTGCAGTTGCAATCGTTTCAGGAATCAGTCTTCTGATGCATTAAGAAATCTAAAAAAGCAGAGTCCTTGTACAAGAAAGAATGCTTCTGCTTTTTAAGCATGTATCCATTTTCAACACCCTGTTAAAAATTAAGAAGCTGCCCTTCCACGGGTTTGGGCTGCTAGAAGCTCAGAAAAAATAAATTTTTGACGAATTATGAGTAAGGGGAAGAAAGTGAGACAGCTGCAAAGACATTATTGCTGAATAACTGGTGTTACACTATTATGACTAGAACCTACTGATACCTAAACAGTGCTAGCTGCCATTACACAAGCAAGTATGGGCATGAGTTAGGAAACAGGAGAGACAGACAGCTATTATTTTCTGCCAAAAGAAAGTAAAGGTACTGCTTGCATTGCTGTTATATATTCTACCGCAAAAGAACAGCACTCACCGCAATGAGTAAAACCTTAATGTATTCTGCCAAAAGTTATACATGTATCCGATACATACATTACATAAACAATTCTACTTTTCAAGATTAGTGGGTGAACAGCATTTCCTTGTTTTATGTGCACAACAGAACCCATGCTCCCTCTAAGCTGTGAGCCAAAATTCTATGCCAGAGGATAAATGGATACAAATCTGACATCAGGAATCACAAGATTGAGAAACCTGTAGGACAGTGATGGCGTACCTTTTAGAGACCCAGTGCCCAAACTGCGACCCAAAACCCACTTATTTATCGCAAAGTGCCAACACGGATATTTAACCTGAATACTAAGGATTTACTTTAGAAAAAACAACTCATACATTAACTTAAGATGATCCAAACAAAGTAAGGAAAGCAATCCCAAATGCTTTCATTTACTTAAAATTATTTGGCAGAGAATTCGACACTTTAATGATGGTCTGGGCCTGGATGGGGCGATGGCACGCGTGCCCACAGAGAGGGCTCTGAGTGCCACCTCTGGCACCCGTGCCATAGGTTCGCCACCACTACTGTAGGAGAGCACTTCAACTTTCCAGGGCATTCAATGGGTGACCTCAAAGTAGCTGTTTTATTACAAAGGAACTTCACGAACAGAATGGAAAGGGAAATCGCTGAATTACAAGTTATTACAACACTTGGAACAAAAACCTCCCCAGGACTCAACAGGGATCCTCACATAAGTATTCTCAACAAGAAGGACTATAAATCCTCTGTATTTTAATATATTTCAGTGTATTTGTTTTTCAGAACAGTATATTAGAATACTGAATGTATGCAAGGGCTATTAGGATGTCGGCTGACATAACAGCATTTTTTGGAGGGGGAGGTAGTGTTAAGTGCCCTCCAGATTCCCAGTCACGTCCCACAATGAAGATTTCCAGTCACTTCCCACAATTATGGCCCCGGTCACACGGGCCAGATTCAGTGTATTTGTTTTTCAGAACAGTATATTAGAATACTGAATGTATGCAAGGGCTATTAGGATGTCGGCTGACATAACAGCATTTTTTGGAGGGGGAGGTAGTGTTAAGTGCCCTCCAGATTCCCAGTCACGTCCCACAATGAAGATTTCCAGTCACTTCCCACAATTATGGCCCCGGTCACACGGGCCAGATAACGTGGGGGGGGAGGCGTGGCTGTTCACCCTGGAGCGAAATAAAGCGTGGTAGCCCGATCACACGGTCCCCCGAGTCTCCGTGCTTAGGCTGTTAGCTGGCGATCACACAGCAATGCTGCAGCGTGGCAAAGAAGCGACGCAGCGTGATCACACCAGCGTTTCACGTTTGTGTGCATGCACAGTTCCACAGAGCAGCACTGCTTTCAGTTTCGTGTTTGTGTGCATGCACTTACGAAAAACGCAACGGGACATGGTTTGCAACGGGACATAGACAGGCTCCGGATGCTATGGGATACTAGCGCTCCCGCGATCAGACGCCTGCCTGTGCCGCACATTTTCCAGATACTAGTGCACTTTCCTTGGTACTTTTTAACTCCGCATCTTCGGCGGGACACCACGGGTTGGCCATGGGTGCCCTACGTTTCCCAGATGTTGCAGTGTGATCGCGCCCCGAAAATCCGCCCAACATTCTCTGTGTGACCGGGGCCTATAAAAGACATCTTTAGAAATGTTCTACTAGTTTGACATATTTATTGCTTTACAACTGTTGACCCTATAATCTAACTTGTTATTTAGTTTCACTTTGCATATCTTGATCATTAATAGGGCTCTTTTTGTAGAAAAAGCCCAGCAGGGACTCATTAGCATAATAGGCCACACCCAACAGCAGGAAGTTATTAGCATATTGGGCCACACCCCTGACAGCACAGCTCATTGGCACATTAGGCCACACCCCCATGTTACCAGAAGTGTGGTTATCCAGCCACACCCACCTTTTGCTTCTTATTCTGTTTACCTTGTTTGTTGTCCAAACCCAGGGTTTTTTTGTAGCAGGAACTCCTTTGCATGTTAGGCCACACACTCCTAATGTAGCCAATCCTAATGAGTTTCTGCTGTTGGGTGTGGCCTATTATGCTAATGAGTTCCTGCTGGGCGTGGCCAACTTGGGAGCCAGCCGGAACTCCGTTCCTGTGCGTTCTTGCCCAAAAATAGCCCTGAAATCATGTTGCATGTTCATTTGCTGTTCATTCTCTGCCTATAAGTTTGAACCTTGACTGCCATTCTAACGTATTTGATAAAGTGTACATACCTTGAATACCTTTGATAAAGTGCACATACCTTGAATAAACCTTTGTTGGTCTTAAAGGTGCCACTGGATCCTCTAAATTTGTTGTACTGCTTCAGACCAGCACGGCTGACCAGCTGGATCTGGCATTAAAATTCTGAGTGAGCAATTTGGCTACTGCCTACATTAGTCTGCTCTGTAGCTATCCTTCCTATGCGAAGACAAAAATGGGTGAGCCAGAGGCTAAAAAAACTGTGAGCCAGCTCATGCTAACTCAGCTTAGAGGGGACACTGAACACAACCGTGAAGTACCGCTGCTCCTATTACACAGATGGGGAACTGACAATGAGGCATAACGATCTGCCCACAAGTATCTAATAACCCCCCCTGCTGATCCTGGGAACAGAATATAGATCTAAATCCAATCCTCTGTACACTATCCCACAGTCTTTTTCTTTTTTCTTATTGGCTTTTTAATACATTGGGATTTGTTTTCTCATATTACCTTCACTGCCTGCAGTGATTCAGTTTGAAACAGGGATGCTGAGAGTAATGCATTAGAACCAAGTGGTCAGCCATGTTGGTATGAAGCAGTAGAACAAACTTAGTCCAGTAGCACCTTTAAGACCCACAAAGGTTTATTCAAGGTATGAGCTTTCGTGTGCATGCATACCTTGAATAAACCTTTGTTGGTCTTAAAGGTGCCACCGGACTCTAAGTTTGTATTAGAACCAAGTTTGAGTCCAGTGGCACCTTTAAGACCCACAAAGTTTAATTCTGGGTAT